GTACTTAAACTTGTAACATACTTGAACTTATAAACATGGTTATACTTGTAATATACTTGAATTTATAACATACATGGACTTATAACATACTTGGACTTGTAACATACATGAACTTATAACATACTTAACTTGAAAACTTGTAACACATTTAAACTTGTATATACTTGTACTTGTAACCTTACTTAAACTTGTACATATTGGAACTTGTCACACATATATAAACTTGTAACATTCTTGACTAGAGCATACGTAAACTTATAACAGACTTAAACTTAGAACATACGTAAACTTATAACTTAATTATTTGAACCATGGTATTATTACCCCTGGGTAAGGGCCTTGTGCTAGAGATGATGTGAATACTTCTACATATATGAATAATCATTAAGTTAATAGAAAACAGAGCTTTTCTTGTTATATCATGTCATTATCATGCACTTAACAAAATAGAATGATTCATATTCTTATGTGGGTTGCATGCTAATGGTAAACCTTTACATTCCTATCATAGATTCTAAACGTTCTTGGATCCCTTCGTAACATAATCTTAAATTCACACAACATCATTCTTCAAGGCTGAACATAAGTTCCACTTATTCTTTAAGAAATAACATACTATACTGATAAATAACAAAGGGCTAATATTCGTCATTAACGGAATATAAGGATTCCAAAATCATACCGACGTACGCAAATCTTTCAGCGTTCATATAAGCTCACATTGCTTTCCAATTGTCATGATGTTTAAATAATACTTACAAAGAACAGAGCATTAGTGACAATAATTGTCAATAGTATATAAAGTGTACATTCTTGTACTACTACTCACTGTGCTACAACGGAGTGCTTGCCCCTCCTGGAGTGTGCCCTGTACACACACATAACTTAGTCATTAGTTCTTTTGCTTTCTTAATTCCTTTCCTGCTTTAGTTTACTTCGAATGAATTTACAGGCATCTTAGGGACATCAAACACAAATTCTAAAAATACCAGAGGGTTAAGCACGTAAAACCGAGCAAACAAATTTTTGCAGCATGGGCCGCACGTGCGGCTGGAAGCCCCGCACGTGCGGCGATTCTGGCAGAAAGCAGTCCGAAAATGCAGAAAAACCCAATTTTTGATACATTTTTCAAGTCTCAAAATAGGTTCTTTTAATTGATGAAACATGGTTCAAAATCATGTAAATAGGAGCTATAACATAGATCAATCTTCATACAATTTGGACTTTTGATCTTAACTCACAAACACAACTTATCTTCATAACATTCCTATCTTTTCGCACATAGCTATATATACACACATGATCATTTAGCTACATAATCAAGCTTCAAAAACATGATTCTAATTAATCATTCACCACATATTTGTTCCATAACATAAACCCTAACTTGTATAACATAAAGAACTTTCTACTTAATTATCAAAGAGAGGAATCAAGAAGAATGAATTACACATACCCTACCTTAAATCTTTGTAACCCCTTTAATTTCCCAATCTTCTTTCTTGGAAGCTCCTTCTTCTTTCTCCCTAATTCTTCTCTTCTAACCCTCTTAGAAAAATAGTTTTGTGTTTTTGGGTCCAAGTCAATGACTAGGGCATACATATATATATTATGGTATAATAATTGAATAGGACAAAAATCAATCGTTTAAGCATCCCAAATTGAAATTTCACAGAAACATTTAATATTACTTAAAAATTATGTTGATCACATATATAACTTCAATTTCAGATAATTAAGTCCCTAAGGCTTCCAATTTCTGCTTTACTTACTTAAATAGGGGATTTACTTACTTAACCATAATTCCACATGGAATTTCACAATAAGCATATAAATATACAGAATAAGGGAACTGAAAGTATACCAGAATCATAGACGAGGGTCGGGTTATTACATTTAATCCAAGCAACCATGAGACACAATGATCGCATGCACAGTGCCCAAAAGCTGTTTTGTTTGCCCAGATTGCTCTGCCTCACCCTCAGCCACTGCCCTCTATTTCTGCCAAAAGGTCCTTGTTTACCAAACATTGGGAGCTGGCCGGCCCTAAATGAGATCCGGCCAGGCCAAAATAGTGCCAGCCGGCTCTAAATTTTAGGCCAAAAAAAAGTTTTGTGCTCTGAGGTGTGAACAATGCAGACAGAGCCTTTCTAGGCCCTGTTTGTCCATTTTGCTTCTCTTTGTCATGAGAAACTCAAGAGAAGAGCGAGTTAGAGTTCGAAACCACCAACAAGCACAATTGGATGGCTTGATGATTTCGAACAAGTTTGGACAAAATTGAATAAATGTAATGGAATACCACCCCTCCTTCTTATCATGAAGGCTCAAAGAGGGAAGTAGACACGCTCTAAGTCTCATCAACATATCATGTATTGATATGTGCCAATTCTTGAAACGATGGACTCGGCTTAACGTCCGGCCGAATCCAACCAACTCTGAATATTTTCTTTAGGTCGGTTTAGATCATTTTGAGTTGATTGTATTAGTTTTTGACATTTTTTAATCAATTTGTCCAAAGTGATGGTTAAGTCCACAAAATGAGAAGAAACATCAAACGAGAAGTGATCCTAAGCATGAAAGAGAGCATATGCTTTGATGATGAACCTCCGTAGAGATTAAGCCATTGAGCATAGGTTTTTTTCTCATGCTTTGAATAACTGTCGATCAGTTGAAATGTCTCTCAAACAAAAGAAGAGAAGAAAATAGGGAGATTGCAGAAATGATTGCGGGATCAAGTATTAGAATGAGACTCTTCACCACGAAAAATTAACCAAAGAAAAGCTGTCAAAGCATGGATAGCACAACGCAACAAGCTAGATATGAGGATTTACAACACAACAAGCTAGATATTCAAAGCATACCTTGATTAAATAAATTAGGACAGCCCTAAAACAACCTCTAATATGCTAAAAATAGTGGCCCAAAAATCATGTTAAAGAGCATAAAAAAAAAAAGTAGGAAAGAACAAGGAAATGAGAGGCTAGTGAACAAGAACAAGAAGAGATGGCTAACCTCTCCATTTTTGAGACCTCAAACCATGTTTTTTTAGCCCTGTTCAAACTCTAAAAAACAGTTTAAAAGGCAAAGAAAAGAGTGTAAGATAAGTGTGTGAGCTATGAAGTAGAGTGCAAGAAAGGGGGTTAACCCTCTCTACCCTTTGGTAGCTATTCAAATCCAAGTTCCAACACTTGAAATAGGATCAAAATAATATAAAAATACAAGAAATAGGTAGACAAAGACAGAAATGAAAGCAATAGAAAGATGGTAAGCTTATACCTCTTGAAGAAGGCAAGCTCTTGTTTGTGAACCAAACTTGGTCCAAGCAAACTCTCAAGCTTGAATTGTGATTCGCAAAGCTCAGCCGAGGTTCTAAATTATGGCTCCAAGGTTATGTATAGTATATGAATATAGTATAAGGATGATATAATATCTCAAAGTTGGCTTGCACAAGAAAAAGGAGCTCTCAAGGGTTATTTTACTTCTTTGAAAATTTTCTAAGCTCTAACACTGAGATATATGCTCATATTTATAGAATTTGGGAAAAAATAGGTTGAAAATATTTTCAAAAATGGACAATTGGCTGATTCCCGCCTAGAACAGTGTTTCTCACTAAAGAGAGCCGGCCGACTCCCAATGGCCACGGTCGGCTCCCAATGTATTCTCCTGTGCCTCTGTTTCAAACTCAAGGTATGGTGGTATAATGTTCAAAAATGAATTTCTGGGGTAAGAATAGTATGAATATGAAAGGTTTGGGATTGGTTTTGGAGCGCAAGCTTACGTTCCTTTGTTGAGATCTCGACACACTCAACGCAACTTTCATCATTGAGTGCGTAGGACAAAGCCTCCAAATCTTGCGGGCGGTCAAAAAATGCATTCGTTACCGTGTTGGCTTTACTGGGATGATAATGAATCTGCAGGTCATAATCCTTAATGAGTTCTAACCATCGTCTTTGTCGCATATCAAGCTCCTTTTGAGTAAAGAAATACTTGAGGCTCTTGGGGTCGGTGTAGACTTTACATGTTGCTTCATAAAGATAATGTTGCCATATCTTCAATGCAAATACCACATCAGCTAATTCCAAATGATGAATAGGATAATTCTTTTCATGTGGCTTCAATTGTCGAGAGGCATACGCAATCACTCTCCCATTTTGCATAAGCACACACCCCAATCCCTTATGAGAAGCATCACTGTAAATAACAAACCTTTCTGTACCTGACAGTAAGGCAGGGACCAGTGCTGTTGTGAGTCTTGTCTTTAATTCTTAGAAGGCAGACTCCCTCTGTTTTGTCCACTTGAATGGAACACCTTTTTGGGTTAACTGGGTGAGCAACACCGTAATCTTGGAGAAATCTTTAACAAATCTTCGATAGTAACCCGCTAAACCCATGAAATTGCGTACTTCGGTAACATTGGTAGGAGCAGGCCAATTCACAATAGCTTCTATCTTTTGCAGATCGACAGACACACCATTCCTTTTAATTACATGCCCCCAAAACACAACTTCACTCAACCAAAATTCACACTTCTTCAATTTGGCATATAATTTCTTGTCCTTAAGTGTTTGAAGAATCAATCTCAAGTGTTTTTCATGTTCCTCCCTACTCCTTGAATAAATAAGAATATCATCAATGAATACCACCACAAACTCATCCATGTATGGTTTGAAAACCCGATTCATTAAATCCATAAAAGCTGTTGGTGCATTCTTAACCCCAAATGGCATGACTAAAAATTCTTAATGGCCGTACCTGGTTTGGAAAGCAGTCTTTTCAACATCCTCTACTTTGATTTTCAACTGATGGTACCCGGATCTCAAGTCGATTTTTGAAAACACTCGTGCCCCTTGTAATTGGTCAAACAAATCATCAATCCGTGGTAAAGGATATTTATTCTTCATCATTACCTTATTAAGTTCTCGGTAATCAATACACAATCGAAGGGTCCCATCCTTCTTCTTCACAAACAAAACAGGTGCACCCCATGGCGATCTATTCGATCAGATGAACCCTTTGTCAAGCAATTGTTGCAACTGTATTTTCAATTCTTTCATTTCTGTTGGGGACATTTTGTATGGAGCCTTGGAAATCGGTTGAGTACCCGGTACAATATCAATGACAAATTCAATGTCACGATCTATCAAGTCCCCTGGTAATTCTTCTGGAAATACATTCGGAAATTCACTAACAATCTGAATATTTTCAACACCCACCTCAGTTGTCTCTATATACAAAATACTACACAAATAACCCACACAACCTTTCTGAAGTAGTTTATAAGCTTTCAATATCAAATAGGCAGAGGGACCACCCCATGTCCCACAAAAGTAAACTCATCTTGATCTGGTGGGCGAAAAACAACTTGCTTGGACACATAGTCGGTGGTTGCATGATACTTAGCTAACCAATCCATTCCCAAAATTATATCAAAGTGTACCATATCAAGAGGCATCAAATTAGCACACAATGGATTCTCTCCAAGTAAAAGCTCACATGCAGGATACATAGAAGCACATAACATATAGTCCCCGGATGGGAGAGACACACACAACACATAATTCAAGGGTTCCGTAGATCTAGTCAAATTAGAAGCAAATGTTTTCGAAATAAAGGAATGGGTGGAACCCGAATCAAGTAGCACATGAGCAAGTTGGTCATTGATGGAAAGCGTACCTGAAACCACAACATTTGAATTTTGGACATCACCCAGAACAAGAGCAAAGACTCTCCCTTGCCTAACATTGTCTCTAGAAGTAGTGGGGCTTGCCTGGGTCTTTGTTGCAGGAGTGAAACCGGTTGAACTAGCAGTTGGCCTATTTCCTTTTTGTTGCCCAAACATAGGACAATGTCTCACCATATGCCCTGTCTTTCCATAATTAAGGCACACTCCTGAAGCTCGATAACAAACCCCCCGGTGCTTCTTTCCACACTTCGGGCAAGTTGGTACTGAATCATGGGTAGAACTCTTACTTTGTGAGGACGCCGACCTTTTGTGCACATTGGAGCCATGCCTTTTGCCTTTCCAGTCTGAGTGCCGGTTGCAGCTAGCTTGGTTACCTTTGGCTATGATAGCCTTATCCAATACATCCTCATATTTCTGTACCTGCAATACATTAATCTTCTCAAGAATGTAGTCTCGAAGACCTCACTCAAATTTCCTCGCCTTCTTGTAGTCTGTATCAACCATGTACGGTGCGAAATGGGCTAGTTCGGTAAATTGCGCCTCATACTCTGCTACGATTTTGTTTCCTTGCTTCAAGTTTTCAAACTTTGATAACTTCCTGTCTCGGATGCTCTGTGGAAAGTACTTCTCATAGAAGATCTCCAAAAATTGAGCCCAATTCATCCCTTGATGCTTTCCTTGAATAAGCATCCACCAATGGCGCGCCTCATCCTCTAGTGTAAAAGCAGCTAGCAAGACTTTCTGTGCCTCCATGCATGAAAGACTTCAAACAATTTCTCTATACCAAGCACCCAAACCTCCGCCTTTAATGGATCAATTCCTCCCTTGAACGATGGCGGTTTCATCTTTTTAAATTCTTTTGTGAGAGCAATAGTTCAGTCATTGGCCTGGTGGTCTTGCAATATAGGTGGTGGCACAGGCATTGGTGGCGGTGGTTGTTATTGCTGTTGTTGTCTAAAGCCCTCTGCCATGTCCATGATCATTGTTTCCATTCTATCAAGTCATGCAGAGGTTGAATCCTCCCCATCCTCTGCCCTTGTTCTCACCATGATCTAGAGGAACACACATTATAACTTTCCAAAATAATAAACACATAAGTCACCTTTACAAATGCACATTTTCATGTCATACTTGCTTACAGATGCATTATGCATGCAACTTAAAACCTTTCTAGACTTCTTATTGCTTGCATGGACTCGTGTGTGAGATATCAACTCGTGCTCTGATCCCACTCTGTCATGACCCAAAACCGCCCCTAAAAGTTTGGGTCATAACCGGCCGGTAATCACTTGATTACCTTCGGCCTCAAACAAACATACAGAGTAATAACAGTAATGGGGCCAAAGTGGAAGTATACAACAAAAGAATGAGTCCATTGAGCTATACCAATATGCAAAATGTAACACATCCACGTCTACTATTAGCGGAAAAGAATGAAAAATTACTTTAAGGAGTCAAATGTACTTTAAAACTGTTTAGAATTGTAATTTTATCATGCAAAAAGAATGTAAGTATCGAAAGAAATTTGTGCATAACGTTTACAAACCAAAGACCACATTAGCAAAACAAAGTGAAGTCAAAATATGATGTGAGTCAAAGATAAAACTCCATCTTGGAGACATGACTCGATTAGGTCTAAAAAAGAATGGCTCCTAAAGCTGACTCTAAGGGTGTGTTCCATACTGTGGATTACCTAAATGTGCATACGTAAAATTGGGTGTGCGAAACTCAATGAGTAATAATATAGTAAAACAGTGTAAAATAGTCATAAGATTCTCACAAAACCCAAAATCGTATAAACAAAGCGGCCTTAGGCCCAATCATATTTCAAAACGGCCTCAGGCCTAATATATAACAAAATGGCCTCGGGCCCAACGTTTATCAAAATGGCCTCGGGCCCAACATATAACAAAACGGCCTCGGGCCCAATCATATATCAAAACGGCCTCGGGCTCAACATATAACAAAACGGCCTTGGGCCTAACGTTGCACATGTCATATGATATTAATGAGGTTTCTCATTTCAAACAAATCACAATGTTGACACCATTCACCGTTCATGGTTCAAGGTACACAATAACGAACATATGAATATGGTTTTAGTATAGTGGGGTCCATCTTGTAACGTTTCCTCCGGCACACGACCTACACGAAACGTGTTACACACATATTCGATAAGTAATTCACTTCAATTGTACTCTTTTTTTTTTCATTATTCACAACCTTCTTTAATGAGTTTCTATTCATCATTTCACTCATACAAGGGGCTAAATAAGGTTGGGAACGCATTCCGGATGCCGGGGGTAGCAACACAAAATAACACAATTTTTTTCCTGTTGGGCTGCACGTGCGGCCGGTCCAGCCGCTCGAGCGGTTTGGCTCTGCACGTGCAAAAATGGCTGCCACTCAGTGCATAGTAAGGTGTGGGTTTAGGCTTAAATCTTGGGCACTCGTGCGGAGCCCAAAGCCACACGAGCTGTCTGGGCTCACTCAGGCAGTCCGAAAATGGCTCAAAGATGCAAATGTTTTCCCCTCATTCCCAAGCCCAAATCCATGTAAAAACAACTCAAAACATGATATCTAAGCATGATACAAGTGTAATTCCACCTTAAACATATCAATCTTGCATCAACAACACTTTCATGGTTTCATCTTTTCACAATTTCATGGTTTACATGCACAAGTTCAAAATACATATATTCATGAATGATTTTCTCACAAATCTTGTTTATAGGAACCATCTAGGGTTTGTTTCATGGATCAATCATAAAAATGAACTCAAATCAAACAAGGGTGTAGAGATGAAGGTCCAATTTCATGCCTTAGCCCTAGTCACTACACAATTCCAAACCCTAGCTCAAAATTCCTAATTTCTTCATGATTTCTTGACAAAGATGAGTTAGAGACAAAGTTTGTAAGTAAATTTCCATACCTCAACTCAAATCTATGGCTTGCCCCTTGATTCCCTTCAAATCCCTAGCTTTCTTATCTTCCTCTCTCTAACTCACCCTTTGAGCTCTCCTCCCATAAAATGAAGAACAAAGGCTAAACATATGCAATTAACTAAAAAATCTTAATTTATTCATTACGAATCATGATTTTTCAAAATCTCACCAAAGCCTCTAAAAATGATTCTAATCTTAGCTATAAAGTTAGTTTTTGTTTATCGCGCCTCTACAGCAGTAGCTTGGCTTTTTCGTGCCCCCTTTTGGAAGCTCGAAAAGAAAGCCCTACAGTTCGGACTCCCGTAGTTCTGAATCTAATCTCACAAGTGCAATGTGAAACTAATAAACACCAAAGAGTCCAAGTCCGGCAAATTGTTTTGGAAAATTGATTTTGAATCAAAAAGTGCCAAAATTGGACTGCTTTGCCAGATACAGAGTCGCCACCTAAATATTTTATTTTTGGGAAAATTTAGGAAACCCATGACTCGTGCCAAAGGCCACGTGGCCGTCATCACCAAAGTTGCCTCAGCTCAGGAACTTGGGTACGAAAGGGGAAGGTCATGAATTGAGCATCCTCGCTCGCCTGATCAAAGATCGGCCTCTACTAATCATGATATGATTTTTTTATAAACATTACGTGCTCTTATTCCAGTTATTAGGCTAGCTTTACTATGTGACACGCACAAGCAAGAATAGACTAGTTTGCTCAAATTGGAACAATTCAATTTCATGTTTGTTTTGTGAAAATAGTTTGAATTTGCCACCTTAAGTGAGCTTAAAGTTTGCCGATTTGCCACCAAACATAGTGGGCTTAAAGTTGATTTGTCACTCAACAAAGTGGGCTTAAAACACACATTATTGAATTGTTCCAATTCAAGCAACAAGCTTTCATCCACGGACATTCAAGCAGTTTTAACAAATAAGCATTTAGCCTCATAG